TACTATATCGTTTTAACCTATTTTAAGTTAGATTAAAGGGAAGTTAATTGACTAAACCTTCTCATTCACGCACAATCCTTTGATAAATTCATCTCTTTCGCTAACTGAAGATTCCTCTCAAGCAAGAACTAAAGTTCTTTCACCTTCAAGCTTCTCATAATCTGATCAAGAAATCAAGCCAGTGTTTTCTTTTCAGGTATGAAAAGAGCTCATCATTTGTGTTGCCATCATATTCCCATAAAAAATGTCATTATCTTATGGACAAAAAAAAAAAAACGTAGTTAAATTATTAACTCGACTCCGTCCCATTTTATGTGAGGTAGTTTGATTCGGCACAGAGTTTAAGAAAGAAAAGAAGACTTTTAAATCTTGTTGTCCAAAATGATTAATAGAAATTTGTGTGGCTGTAAATCATTTTATTAAGGGTAAAATAGATATTTTATAATTAAAATGTTACTTAATATAGAAATGTGTCATTCTATTTGGAATTGACTAAAAAGGAAAGTAAGTCACATAAATTGGGAGAGAGCGAGTATCAGATTAAGTAACTTCTTGTTTTAAAGTTCTACGTTATATTTCAATAATATCTCAAGCAATTTTGAGTTATTACAATTGTTTGTAATTGAGAGAAAACACAATGATAATAAACCAATCACAACACCTTACAATTAAGTATAGACAAAACATATTAGGTAATTAATACACAAAATAACAGTCAATAGATCACACTTAATTTTATTCTAAAGGTTTTTCTCAGAGAAATATGAACTCCAATATGACATGTTTCCAATATGATATTAACTATAAATTATTATGTATATGGAAGTTAATATATGGCGTTAAAAAAATAAATTTATTATTAGTGGTGGTCCTCAAAGCTAAGTTTGGCAAGGCTATTTTAGCCTGGGGTTAAATGTGAAGACCTTAATTAGAGATATGTAAAGGTAATCTCTAATGGTCTAAGTTAGGTCGGGTAAGTGAGAATTTGAAAAAGTAAAATACTTATATCAAGTAAACTTTTTTATTTAGACGTGTTAGAATATCTTTTCATTCAATTGTTGAGACTTGAGCCATAACATAGGATAAATTATTGTTTTTAATAGTACGTATTAAAGTTATAATGAATGGTGAGTATTTTGTAAAAAGCACATTTATGATACCATTATATTCCATGTGAGAAAAAAATATAATGTGTTTTTCTCTTTTGAGAAAACCAAAAAATAATATAGTCATTCTCACATTACGTAAGTCCTTGTTTTTAAAGTTATACATTATGCATAAACAATATGTAAAGCATGCTCGAGAGACCTGAGACCCAACCTCGACCCACGACCCGACCTTGATCTGAGACCCAACCCCAACTCCCGGACCGAGAGAAAGACAAAAGAAAACTGAGCAGGGGAAGATCTGTATTTGTATAATAATAAGTGTATAGGACGAAAATATATGTATTAGTATATACAATTTTCTCTCGCTTTATACAAACACAAACACAATTTATACATTTGTGTTTGTATAAAGGGAGAGAGGTGAGGGAGAGTGGCGAGTGAGATTCTCTGGGGAGAGAGGCGAACAAAAAGATATGTATATATACAGTTTTCTCTCGCTTTATACAAATACAAACGCATTTTATACATTTGTGCTTGTATAAAGTGAGAGAGGCGAGGAAGAGACTGCCCAACGAGAAATCGAGAGAGGCGAGCGAGAAATTCAGGGAGAGAGGCGAATGGCAACTATTTACTACGGGTTACAATTAAATCAAATTGTGGTTATACCATTTAATTTGAATTAATAGTTTGCTTAAATCATATTGTGATTATACCATTTAATTTGAATTAATAATTTGTTATTTTATACAATTTTCCCTATATGAATATATTATTCTTTTGGTGTCACATTTAATTTTTGCAGTGTTGACTTCACTATGTAAAAACTATCTCAAGCATACTCTAATATTATTTAAATATATACTCCTACCGAACTTTAAAAACAAGAATTTATTTAGTGTAAGAACACTTTCCTTAATTTTTGATGTTTATGTAAGAAAAAATATATTTGATGTTCTTTCACAGTTGGGATATAATGACCTAATAAATGTGCTCTTTTCATATAAGAATGAAATACTATGTTTTTTGATATTTTACTTTATAAAAAAAAATCACAAGAGCGTGGTGTACAAGTTAATTTTATAAAGTATTTATCATTTATTATAACGTTAATATTCAATATTATTGAATGACTTTGAATGAAAAGAGATCCATACACCTTACATTAAATTAATATATGTAGGCCTTGACTCTCTTCCATTGAGCTTCACCTCCAATGTTATTCTAAAATGTTGACACATGTCTTATTTTTCAGTTAATGGATCTGATTTATTTACTAACTAGTATATTTTAATCACAATTAAAAGTAATCTTTATTGATAAGATTTTTTTTCTCATGTCATGTATTTATATTCATATACATAAAAATTAAATGTAGAATAAAGAAAAAACTTTTCATTTATTTTGAAAGAGACTAATCCTTCGGGGCCACTAAAGTCTACTTAAGAATTAGCAAATCAAAAGAAAAGAAAGGTGTCTTCAACCAAGTAAATGTCAACTGCCATAAATAATGTCGAAAGCATAACATATTTATCAATCAGTAAATTTTTTTGTATATAAAATTGCTTAAGTAATTAGCGTATGTTTAGAAAAGTATCGGTTATGATAATCTTTTTTACCTCAAACGCCACATGCTATTATTAATGCCAATTATTTAATGGTTGATAAGTCTATTTTCAAAATGGCTCGGTTTAACTTTTTAAAAATCTATTATTGCCGGTAAATGAATTCAAATTATTGCTAACAGCTTTGTGCTTTAGGGTGTGTTTGGCAGGAAGGAAAACATTATTCGAAAAATATTTTCCAATTTTCTCATGTTTGATTAGCTTATATGTTTTGGAATTTTTTTTTCAAAACAACTTATTTTCCTTAAATTTAAGGAAAATGACTTCCCTTCAAAAATTAAGGAAAACATTTTCCCAAACTCTACTTCATCCTTCGATATTTTTTTCTTATCCTACCCCGTACGTTGTACCCGACCCTCTCCATCAAAAAAAAAAAATTCATTTCTTATGCCATCCCCATCCCTACTCCCCCCGCTACCCAGGCCACATCGTTAATTTTTATTTTTTTTTGAAAAGTATTTCAAATTTTAAAAAAATTCATTTTTTATGACACCCTAAAAAATTCTTAATTTACCTTTTTAACATCCATTTTTGTCTTTAATACAAGGGTTGTGTCATCCCCATCAGAAGAAATATCGACATGTACTCTGAGAATTTCGAGGCCTGGAGGATTTCCTGTCGCGGAGCAAGCCAACCTTCCATTTTGAAATCGTACCCCAACTACAAGTTGGGGTTGGTTTGCTCCGCGATAGTGATGAAATATAGAATAATGAAG